TGGATACGAGAGTCATGCCCACTGCAGGGCCAAGATGAATGGAGAAGGCTTTATCGTAAGATGATGAGCCGTTCTGCTGTAAACATCTGCAGACGGTGGTGATGATGATAACTGTAGTGCCTCTCCTTTGAACGGCTACATAAACACCGTCACTGTCATATCACTTTTCACAGATGTCTTTTAACTCTGGTTCCATTTTGACATGCACCAGCCACACGGTGTCTCTCGGTAAACAAGACCACTAGATAAGTAACGATGAGCACTTCCTTCACCGAGTTCTGCTGTGGTGTTGGCAATACTGTCTGCATTGTTCTCTGTGTGTCTTGCAGATACACTTTCCCACTGTCAAACTAAACCTATGAGTAGCAAAAGGGCTCCAACCTGTGACCGCATTCTATCACTGGCAACTCGTCTGTTGCATTGATGCTTCTATACCCAATTCACAGACATACTGTTCGTGGTCGGTAGCCAAGAGCAAAGTGCAATCCATCTTCTCTATTAAAACAACTCCCTTCATAACAGATGCAGCATCTGGCATCATCCACACATCACCTAAACTTACAGAACGAACTCCAATTCAAATTCACATACATAAATGACTTCTGAATAATACTGGCCAATCACAGTTGTTGCTTGTCTTCGAGGCATGAATGAATTCTTTTTAAGAAATTTTAATTTACAATTAATTAAGAATGTATTAACTCTTTTTCATTCAGTCTTCACCATTCACAAATTAATTATCCTCAGAGTTACACATTTTTGTGGAGAAAATGCTTTTAGTTCATAGCTTTGGTGACATTTCAGACAAACTTATTAAATTAAAATTAAATTATTTGGTTATTCTGTCAAATCACAGTGTATTTAAAATAAGATAATTAAAATATCATTCTGTGTTCCATATCGAATAATCGATTTACAATTGGAACAGTTACAACATGTTTCGGTTTTATTAAACCATCATCAGGTGTAAAATTATATTAAATTTAAAACTCAATTACAATTTTTTACAATTTTTTCGTAGTGTAGTTTTGGAGGTCGTGTCCAGATATTTTCATATAATGGATCAACTTTATTGTTTGAAGTGATGCTTTTGATGTTTACATCGGTCAGAGATGAAATAGTAGACAACACAGTTGTGTCTGGAGGTGATCCAGAAGTATTACCGTATCCGATCAAGGTTTATTAACTGTTCCAATTGTAAATCGATTATTCGATATGGAACACAGAATGATATTTTAATTATTTTAATTATCTTATTTTAAA